CCCTTAGACTTGTGATGGCTTCGCCTGCGCCAATCCCGTTTTCCTCCGGCTCCTGGAGCCTCCCCCTCCTCACATGTACCACTGCACACTTGCGCTCATTCCATTACTATTACTATTATTATTATTAGTAGTAGCAGTAGTAGTAGTAGTAGTAGTAGTAGTAGTAGTAGTAGTAGTAGTATCATTATTACATTAACCTTTCTCTTTTCTTTTAGATTCTTCTTGTTTTTAGCGACGGAGGACAGACGTGGAATCCAACAATGCTTAATCTTAGGAACGAGGTAGAGGACCTGATGATGGCCGGAGTGCAGATTTATTCCGTGGGAGTCTGGGCCGAGGAACTGAATTTAAGTAACCTTCTCGATATCGCGTCCAGCCCGAACAACCTTTTTGCCACAGAATTTTACGGAGATCTCTTGGCACAATTAAAGAAAATTTCAAAAGTACCTTGTTCCGGTAAGTTTGTGCTATAGGTGCCTTATATGAATATTGTATTCTAGAACAAGATATTCCTTTATCTTCACAAAAGGTTTCCAACGATGATGAGCGGTCTTCTTGGTTACTGATTTCTGAGCAAAAGTAGCTTTTTGCGGTGAATGCCGCAGATCTAACGGACCTTTTGAAATGTTTCTTTTTTTAGATTCCTTGAAACGTTTGCTGTGGAAGCAGGGATTGAGGAAACTGACTAAGAAAGAGTGAAGTGCCGCTCAAATTACGCTGCGTTCATGGCCGTAAAAGTAGTACCAAAGCTATAAAAAAAAAGCCCAGAACAAAATAAAAGTAGACGTCAGTATTGATACACTTGCTTCCTCTTCGTTTACACTAGGACCAGGTCCTTATTGTTGTTGCAGAGGGACCTGTTCTCTACCCGCGGGCAGATTTGGCACGAGTAGGGAAGAGGTTTGCTGGGGGTCTGGCACTAATAATCAGTCCCAGGCTCCTCGAAGACCTCTCGCCAGCTCGCGTTGCTCAAGGTCTCATACTTCCTGCGAGTGAAAAAAAACGCCCGTGCCGGGGCACTAATAATCGCAGACAACTCAAGGATTTAAACGTTTTGTTAAAGAATGAAATAAAACCCTCACACCCACTATTTGACGAAAAATTTTCCATTCCAACCTTTCTACATTTCCTTGAGAGGTGGCTCTGAGAATTTGATTTATACATAAACAGTTTACTATACGGAGGATATGTATGACCTGTCATTACAAATAGCTTCATTGCTTTCCTGCGCTCAGTAAAAGAAACAAAGGTGCGGAAACAGAAGACTATTGAAAAGACCATCGTGTCGGTTCGATCGTGGGTGGGTTTAGACCGAGTGGCGTAGACCTGTGTTGTACGAAGACCACCGTGTAGGTTCCGCGAACGCCATAATAGCATCTTGCTCGTGGTCAGTGTTAGTAAAAAGTTGTGAAATTATATCAAACATTTACCAGGGCTGTAGCCAGATTTCAGGACAAGACGAGGCAAGTTTCGAGCGCCGAAGGCGCGAGCCGCTAGAGGGGTCTGGGGACATCCCCCCAGAAGACTTTGAAATCTTGAGGTTTAGAAATGCTCTTTTAAGGATTTTCCGTGACATTTTTCTTCAGAAAAGTCAATCTTTCAGAAAAAAATTAAAAAAAGGCCAAAATTAAGACGAGGCAATTGCCTCGTCTTGCCTCATGCTAGCTACGGCCCCGTTTACATCTAACTTCGCGAATTGTATTTTGGCGTCATTTACCGCAGTTCTAAACTGCGCTTATGGTAAAAGATATCTGAATGGTAATGAATACTTGCAACAAAAATATCCCATAATAAATCATTTTGGTATCAAGAAAAGTGGCTCTACGTTGATAACAATGTAGCTAAATTGTCACGCCGAAACTTTTTCCTGATTAGTCATGAACTTTTTCGCGTCGCTTCGACCAAAGCCCCTCAGCGCTACAAAGAACAAAAGGACTATTATTTAATACTGATGTGAGAATTTGAGCCGGAACAAGAGACCATTTCTTGCTACGTTGAAACAAATCAAACAATGATTTCAGTCAGATATTGCTTTTAATACGTCAAAAATGTTTACAACTGTTTATGCCGAAGGAGTGATTCCTCTCTTCCAATATCTATTCAAACGGCCCAGTTAAAAAGATACAAATGAAAAAAAAGATTAAAAATCCAGACTCCCCCTTCATGATAAATGAAAGATTTGGCTAAATTGTTCACATCTCTGTTGCCACTCATTTCAAATTTTGTCAGGAGCTCACAGTTATTCTGTTTGTACATACTCCCATGCACTCAGCTGTGTGGACAAATTGCAATATTTTTCTCTTTCAAAAGTATAATTTACGTCCATTGTTTTCTACTATTGTCAATAGTGATGTTTGACCGTGTGGTGACGTGCTAAAAACCCGTGTATTTGAACAGACCAATCATAAATAAGCCCAATCGCCACTGCACATAGTTTCGATGGCTCTCGCGCGTATGGTAACAAACTTGAGTATGTAATTCAAACGGAAAGTCAAAGATCTTGAACGCAAAATATTAGTGGTGTACTTTCGCTTTTTCCGCAATAATCAGAGAAATATGCTTCGCGCATTGTGTGTTATTGGGTCGAACACAGGAAGATTAAGAAGGTTAGTAAATGGTGACTTTTTAATGCCGAACAAATTGGGTTTGACTAGCTACGATTGTCTGAAAATGTCGGCTTGTAATAATTTCACTTTCCGCCGCAATCATGGCGCTGTTATACTTCAGCAACCCACCTAAGGTAAGAAATGTGGTGAGTACTTATTATAGTTTATTTATCTATTATTTATTTAGTTTTATTTTATTCATTTGCCACTTACACACACACATACAAAAATGAATTACAGTTGTGAACAACAATCAAAAATAATGACTATAATAATATCATTATACTTAATCGATATAAAATTACTATTTATGATCATTTATAAAAAGTGTGGCGAGGAAGCCCAGCAGGAGCTAGTAGGTTATCAAACCTGGGTTCCTCACACGGTGTAGAAAATAGATTTGTTAATTACGAGCGGGCGAGTTTACTTAAACGTTCGGATCTCGGTTCGACTTTCGGCTCGAAGTTAGGCATTGTTTTCGACTATTCGGATTTGCTTCGCATTTCGATCTGTATAATGGCTCCAAAGGAGCATCAGGGTTTGGTAGCGACTCTAAGTCGTTAGCAAACCGCTAAAGACGTTGTGAAGTATAGTACCGTTAGGGAAACCAAGAGTGTTCAAATTCTAGGGGTGTCGACCTAGTCTTGTCCCCAGACCTTCCACGGTCATGAACTTGTACCTTTCATTTACACTTCAGTTGCATGGTGAGATCTGGGCAAAAGATTAGTGTCGACATTTACTGACACAGAAATACTCTCAGCTACTCTAGACCCCCATATTTTCATATATGCCTGGTTTTCGGAAGGCATCACATAATTTACTCAGATTAAATTTATTATCGAGGACGAACAGTTCACCAGTAACAATGTATATAAAAGATCTTGAATCCCTCTATTTTTGGTGTTTTCGTTTTCTTAACGGCCAAGTTTTTAGGAAGCATCTCAAACTTTCTCTTGTCCATTTTCGGACTAGTTAGTGATTAAAGCACTTTTTCACGCTCAAAATTGACCACTTTTTTATAGGGCGGGGCGGTGTTGCGCTAAAAACAGGTAATTGGGATATTTTACAGTTGTGCTTTGTTATCGAGCACCGTGATATCAATAGCATTTAGGGAGTTAGTTAGTGGGGGAGATGCTGTCATGAGGTATGGATAGCTGAGGCGTTCTGTAAGTAATACGTTGTAGTCCACATCAGCATGCCCTCTCTGTAAATAGTTACGGAGTAAATGTCCGTGGTACAATCCTACAATCGATTATCAAGGGCTGATCATGAGATGACAATTCAAGTTCTAATTACTTTAGTTTTCATGATTGCAAAATGAAACCCTTATAAGCTCAGCCTTCTCTGGTCAAGTTGCTCCCTGAAGAAGAAGAATTTCAGAAGAAATTCCACTGAATCGTGGAAAGTTCATTTCTATCCAGTCCTTCCATCTCCTTTTTTGAATTGACGCATGTGAATAAACTGGGAATGGGTCTTAACAAAGTACACGAAAGAGAAAGTGTAAAATCCTTTATTGCAATTATCTCGTACTCAAAGAGAAAGAGATTGTGGATACATGACAAATGTCCTACAAAACTATTTACTCCCCCAATGTGTAGTTATAAAATAACCTTAAACTTAATGGCTTTGATAATATCTCGATGGCGACTCCTGAGTCGATTGCTAAGTTTCTCGCCCTCAAGTACATAATTTCGAAATCGTGATTTCACTACGAAAGTGTGCCTACAAAAAAAAAATTATCATACTAACGTGAATAAGATGAAGGCATAAAACTAGAATACTAGTATGACCTCAAAACCTTCTAGCTACCTATCAGTTATGCAGAACTTAGGAGTTGTAACAATGGCGTATCCCACGTGAAAATCCAAATAGAAATCACAACATTCCCAGGTACACCATGAGAAAGTGTTGCATTATTTATTTATACCATGCCATAAACATACAGTGACAATACGACATTCGCACGTATTTTATTTTCATTGGTTTTGAAGCGGCTCCACCACCTACTCTCCTTGGCCTCAACAAAAATTAAAACTCATGAAACGCTTCTTCTCAAAGATCATGGCATAGCATATAAAGAATACATGTTAAAACACTCGAAAGAAACCGGTAATGACTTCGCCCAGAATTTCGGCGGAAATGAAATCCCAGTTCTCGATGGGAACGTTTGACTCAGCATTATTGAATAAACAGTGGCTTTCTTACATTCGGAGTGTCTGTTTCTCTTTTTATTTACGGCATGGTATATATAAAAAAAGTGTACGAAAGAAATTTGAATCATGACCGTTGTATTGATAACTCAATGCGCATCAGAACTACATGGTTGTTTCTCGAGCTTCCTCAACTCATTCAGCATCTCGTTATCAACTTCAGGCCAAACGTAAATGTCGCTCGTGGCAATCTGCACCATAGTCATCAGGCTCATTTCATTAGTGATTCCCACAGTCTGAACCAGAACGTTAGCATCTTTCAGTTCTTGCGCAGCTTCGTCCAAGGCGTCGCTTTCTTCAAAATCTACGTCTGCGTTGGATGCTACGAGAAGGAGCTATCACAAGAAGCAAGAAATGTTTTATAAAGATGCATGAGATATTTCATGAGAAGAAAAGGGAGAGCGTGGGTTGACTGAAATCCCAGAGAGGGTTGCAAAGGGTTTATACGTGACGCATTTCCCTTTTTTTCGGCTAAGTCCGTCGCGCAAGTAAAAAAAAAAAAAATAGGGACCTTAAGAAACCACGACGGCGACGGCAACGAGGACGTGGGAAAACAAGAGATCTAATTGGCCGAACAGTAGCTCAGCACGTGCGTTTTGAAACTTCGTACATTTCTTAGCCGTCCTATGCAAAACAACAATGTGAAATCGCCAAAATTTGCGTCGTCTGCGAACCGAAACCGCGACGGCAAATTATTTTAATTTCCATTTGGAACTCAACGGCTACTTTATACGTCATGCTGAAGTTGAGCTGTGGCGCTGTACGAGACAGTAAGCTCCTGCAGCCATTTTTGAAATTCCAACTAAGCGTAGAAATTATTTTTTAATCGAAGTCTTCCTTGGTGTCGCCGTCGTGGTTTCATAAAGTCCCTACTGAAAAGATTGAGGCGGTGTTGATTTCAAATGTAATTTTACCTTGATGGCGTTTTCTCTTGCACCTTTCTTCCCATCAAACATGTCTTTGGCATTCTTCAAGGCTGTAATTAGATTTCCATTCCCTTTCTCGGGTATAAATGCCTTCATGGATTTCCATACATTAACATGGCTGATATTTCGGCCCTTCAGCTGATCAAATCCAAGCAGCAACTGATTCTTTTTTGAAATTGCCCTCAAGGCTATGTGAGTGCCGTTATTTCTGATGGACATTTTGTGGACAATTTTGAGAACCTTTCTCCTCACTACTGGCCATGTTGATTTCTGCGCGTCAAATAGGATGGCGAGATCGACTGGAGACTGGCACCCTACAAGCCAAGAAAAGAGACTGGATATAGATCGCAATGTAACCACAGCAGCCAATCAGAAAAGGTAAATAACGCAAGGAGCCAATTAGAACTCAAAGTTAAACCACGCAAACGTCCTGGAGAAACTGGATGAAGAATAACCTTGGAGGGAAACATTAAACAAAAAAATAGTGGACTTTTCGCCGTCCGCTTTCAGTCATTCTTACACCAAAGTGAACGTGGACAAGACACATTTTCCCATTTTTTTAAAGTCGATTTAAGGATGTATGGAAGGGTGAATAAATATCAAGTTTTGTTTACCACAAGCCATTCGAAGAAGTTGTGGTCAAGCTGGCGAAAATATATTTTGCTTACATTGAGTAACGGGATGGACACATTTATTGTTGCAGCCCATCATGCAGCACTTCATCGGCGGCGAGCATTCATCGTCAGCGGAACACTCGTCTTTGTCTTCACCAAAGGAGAAGAGTCCCCCAAGTCCTTCCAGTCCTCCCGGTCCACCTCCACAATCCACTGGAGGTCTTACGTACGGGCATTCTCCAAGAGGACTGCGTTTGCCTGTGAATTGTAACAGATTCGCCGCTTGAATGAGGTGTTCACTTAGTGTCACTTGTTTTAGTGGATTTAGTCAATGTTAAGGGAGAGGGAATAGGGGCACTAAGGGACATTTCAAGGGGGTGGGGTTGTCTCTGATAGAGGCATACTACCAAAATGCAATAGCAAAATCAGACCAAAAAAGAAAAACCTGGTTGTAATTATATCTAGAAGGTACGTATCGCCAACCACCAGGACATTTTAAGACTTCTGGTACAGAAATAAAAAACGAACTGAAGTGAATAAATAAGAAGTGAATAAATAAGAAGTGAATCTACACAACCTAAACGCATCCTATTCAATAGCACATACCCCCCTGCCCTCCCTCCTCTCTTCTAACAGACTGACTTTTATCCCCTCATCCCCCCGCCAGGTTAAGGATATCATTCCACTGAAGAGGTAGATAATCTTATCACTGCTCTCTTCTACAAAAATTATCACTGTTGGTTTTGTTCCAGCAGTAAGTACCCTCTTAACCTCTCATGAAGATAAACACGTCATATGAAGCCTTTATCGGTGTTTTATTACGTATACCTAAATGTTCCTCAATCCATTGACGTATTACTTGGTACGTTCCATGCTGTTAGCCAGAAAAATAGGGGGCTTATCACTCGTGCTAGAGTTTTCTTTGCAATTCAATCGACTAGCTATTTAACAACGGGTTAACTACATATTTGAAGCTAAGTTTCATGGCAGCCGCGTGACGGGAACGTGGGTAACGCGCACGCGATTGAATAGAAGTTTCACATGCGCGCCACTACTTTCGGCGCGTGTCGGTTGAATATCCCGCGGGCTTGTTTCGTTTACTCAAGTTTCTCGCGCGTTTCCCGTTGATTTTCCAGCCGGTTGCGCGCTAATCTCAAGCATTTCCTTTAATTTGACCGAAGAAGGCGACGAAAATTTAATGTGAACACACTTGAGTATATTCAAAGATATCACGTTTTCCATTTTTTCATATGCAACTTACATTTCATTGAAATTCGGTATAAAAATGTGTTTTCAATTACTACCTAAGAAAACATTTTTTTTTCAACGATATTGTGTTCTTCCTCGTGTTTTTTCTATTACAATTCTTCAAATTTCTTTTCTCTCAGTGCTCCTATAACACCACTTTTTAAGCCATCAAATTGTCCGCCTTTGACCTGTTGTATCACAAATTTTTACAGATGGGTCCCACGTAGAAATTTCAACTAAAATCACCCGCTTACGAGATTTTCCCTATTTAAAAACACTGTCGTAAGAGTGAGTCATCAAAAGAAAATAATGATACACTCTTTTGCTGCGGACCTTGATATGCGAAGGGCGTTACTATTATACGACTGTCAAATTACTATGCTCGTTTCTACTTTCAAAAAAATATGTACTTAACTACCATCTTTTCTAAGAAATGGTTGGAAAGTCACAAAATGGTCCAAGAAATTTTTACTATCATGCATGCATGACGCAAGATGTAAACTACATTTTCCCGTCAGCAGCTTCAGTAAATTCGTTTCAATTGCTGTTTAGTCCTAACGTTGGCGATTTTCCAAAAGAAAAAAAAATTAGTGTAGTTTTTTTTTCTAGCTCCTCTGTCGAGACTCCACCTTGGAAGTGAAAAACTTTCATTGTAGCGACCATACCTTTCTGGTTCTCAAAACATTGCTTTTTCTTTGCTTCCCGAAAGAATTGCAGAAAAAAATTCTATCCGCGTACAATATGCGACTTTCAAAAATGTTTTGCAATCGTTAACATAAATAGATTGCGGGAACTTTTTGTCAAAGCTCTATAATTGCTGGGTTGATTGCTGCAGATCGAGCAAAATACGTCCATAAACTCGCATTCCTTCAAAACACTAAATTTGTCTTTAAAATCCGTAGACACAAAGCCGTATAGTTCAACTCAGGCAATCTGATCTAACTAAAAATCTCACCTTAAATATACCACTGAATTAAACATGGCTAACAGGACTTAAAGTTGGTATGATGCTTAAGTCAGTTTTTGCAATTTTCTTTATTATCTCAATTGTCGACTTGGCCGAAAAAACGTTAGGATACAAGGTTGAGTTCACATACCAAAATTCTGTCTCTCCACGAGGTCAGTGGAGGGTGAGAGACGAATAGGTGCCTTCTAAAAGCACTCGATTTCACTGCTGTTTGATCTTCTCTAATTCTTCCCTTTCCAACGATATTTTTCTGTATTTTTTACATCCCTCCCTACTTAAATATTGTTTAAGTAGATTTTTCAAAAGACAGGTCAGCGCTGAATGTCCGTTGTAAGGTAGATGTATGCCTTCCAAATCCACCAAGTTCAATTTTCAAGAAAAAAAAGAGAGACATACCTCGACACAGCACAACTAAAAAAGTTACCAACAGCAACGCGATGGCATTCATCTTAATATAAAATCCTTGCTTCTCCGCTATCGAGTGATATTGTAGTGTGCTAACGCCTGCCTTCTGAATGCGCACTGATAACAAAAGCGTAAGGGTCACTAATCTTTATACTATTGATTCACGAGAGCTGGCTGTAATTACAGACGCATGTCGAGAGCTCATGGCATTCATCTGTCAAACATAACGACATATGGAGAAATCTACTCATGTACACGATGAAACATGCATGCAACGACTGCTTGCAGGCGAAAATAACTGATGCTATCTTTGACATGACCTTCCAATGCGATACAATCGGGGAGAGAGGGGAGGGGACGACGTCAGACAAACATTGCTTTCAAGACGCTGGCAAGCCATAAGTATGAAAGATTTGACTAATTTTAACATGTATGCCCTTGTGGAAGGTATTTCGGGTTTAGTCGTCCATAAAGGCTAAAATGGTGTTTCAGATAATAACATGCTTAGGAGTGAGGTTCCAAACCTTATTTGGTCCCATATCCTTAAAGCATGAACATAGCATCTTTGGTTTGGCTAGAGTTCGTTGCACTAGTTTAGTTCTCCATTATTGGGAAGGAGAAAAAAACATCTTTGAATTGACTGCGCAGCAAGAGTGGAGACAGTACGCCATAACATTCCCTATCTACTAAAGAGTTACTTTCGAAGGTCAAGTTCACAATCTCAAATAGCCCTTCTTCTAGACTTAAATTTTACCAACTCGACTCGGCTCCTGAATAGTTAAAAAGTAAAATTAGCTTACACCAAGCCAACTGAACCTATGAAAGAAATGAAACGGTTTCAAGTCAAAACAATTTTAGAATAATCATTCCCCTTCACACCCCAAAACGTCTTTCTTTTCTTTGCTTGTGTTAGGTCCACTCGCTCTCAAGACGTTAAACATGCAATAACGGAGCTTCTTTTTTTCATAGAAAAAGATGATTGTGATTGGGTATCCCTTAAAGTTAAATGTTCTAAAATTTCTGTAAGCCACACTTTGTTAAGAAGAATCACGTTTTCGTGAGCAAGCCACCTATTGATCTAGAACTCAAAAGAATCATTCCAATATTAGACGCATCTGTTAAAAACCCTCTTGGCAAGCAATAATATTTCCATTCACAAATAGACGAAACTGGAAACTTGCTTGAACGAGTTTAAGTGGCAGCTGATATGTAGTATATACGCTCACGACAAATTTAATGCATGGAATTTTATACGTTCTCTCTTATGGTTCCAAAAACCACACACGCGCATCACGCAATTTAACGGCCTTAAATATATATCATTAATCTAAGTATCCTTACGTCAACAATACGACAGACATTAGCAAGAGAAAAAAAAAGATGAAATGATATGTGAGTTATTGCAGTCAAACTTCTTCAGTCATAGACTAGGAGTTAATCTTAGCCAACGAACGACAAGTTTTGGGGGAAAATATCCCCAATCCCGTATCACCCTTGAGAAACGTTGCGCGCATAGTATTTTCTCGCGATTTTATTAAAACGAGTCAGACATTCTGTTGGGATGGAGGACAGAGAGGTATTGACTGAAATTCTCGTCAATTTAACCACTAAACCATTTTCAATCAATCTTTTATTTTTCTTATTTATTCAGGCATAAAGGTGGGGTCTTTGGAGGTAACCCCACAGAAGTAAAAATGTCCGGCCCATGTTGATGGGTATACCATAAGGTATAGCGGGACGTGCAATCAAAAGATTATTTTTTTTTTTGTGACAGGTTCGATGTCGTGAAGGTTAACGCTTGATTGCTGGTTCACTGACGGACAACTTCGAAGTAACTAAGGCAAAGATGAAACAGTCGGCTGTACTCATCATGTTGTTAATGGGCAAAAACAATCGCGGCGAAAGAGGAGAAGGAAATGAAAGTGTATTCAATATCTTTCGCACTTCATCTTCACCTGTTTGATCTCTTTCGTCTCTTTCCGCCGGATTTCAATAAATTAGCTCAGAACTTGCAACACGCATCAACGCTGATCTTTCAACAACGAACGAAAAAACTATTTATGGCTTGCCAGAAACATCTTCGAACATGTAATGAAGAGATTTCATTTCCCCCCTTCCCATTATACCCCAGTAGTGATTGTACTCAGCAGAGCTGACGCTGTTTCATTGTTGTTCGTTTTGTGACGAGGAGGTTATGGAGAATGGAACCCCGAACCCTCCGATTTCGCGCTTCGATACTCACTCTACCAGCAAGCTCCACGCGTTAGCGAGCTAGGCTCCAAATTTACCTTCTTTCCTATTTTGTTCGCTCACAAGTTGTAACCTTGTTTCAGTTCATCCAAGAATCGCAGATTGGCGAAATTGTTTACGTTTCGCTTAAAGAAAATAGCCGACCAGCGTCAATGCATTTCTTAAGTTCGTTATTTGCAGTTCGTTTTAAATTTCTCTTTTCTTAGTTATCCTTGTCACTGATTTTCGCGTTGACAATCCCTCTTTCGTTCGTGTTTCTCTAATTCAATAAAGTGATATTTTACGCAGGGAAGTCTGCACTGAGCAGAAATCTGGTATTGAACGAGGACAAGTGAAAACAATGGTCCCATTAATTATCTTTTCTCGGCGAGGACTTAATGTCCCGACTTTGTCTCCCTATCAAGTTATTGCAAAACGAACCTGCGTTCACTTAACATGACACCTCTAGCAATCTGATGAAGCCGCTTAAAAAAAAATGGGCCTTTTGTGATCTAAATGTGTGTAAGTGAACAGGACAAGTGGTTCTACCATGAAGGTGCGATATTTTAAGGAAAATGCATAGGTTAAAACCATTTTCACTTCACTTTTTTAGAACTAACACCAATTTGTAGATCAAAGTCTATCCATATGGAATGTTTGACTACGACAGACCACAACAAGCAAAACGCGCTCAGTATATTTTACCATCAACTTTTCTTGCAATCCAATTCCCCTTTGCCAAGTATGCATTTCAGAGTTTACGGGAAGAAAAATAGGCTATTACTCTTTAGTTGACATGCTTTCGTGTCTGCAACGTTTGACCCCACACAAGCCCACCCACTCAGTCTAAATTATAAGGTACAACTTCTGCCCACTGATATTGACATTGCCCTGGGGCCTTTCGCTCAATGAACGCTCTGTTGGGTCAGGTAAACAAATAGTCGCTTCCAGCAGACATAGGAGATGGGTCAGTCCAAACTGTACAGTCCGAGAGTCGGTGAAAAGGGGAAAAGGACCTCTAAAATTCCTTGTGAGGGGTGTCCGAGGCCGGAGGAAGGCTGTCTGAATTTGCTGGCACATTAACTATACGCGTTCAAGAGGCAAACGGCAGAAATCCTGAAGCCAACAAGGATTTACACTGTCACCAACATTTTCGCGATTACGAGAGAAAACTTGGAATATCGGTTTGACTTGAGATCTGGTTAAAAAGATGTAACAATGCAAGTAGCAAATAATTGTTTATGATAAGCATACATAAATCAAACTTTGAATATCCGTGGCTCGTTTCGTATGCATGGTTAGTTTTTCGCGCTGTAAAAAGCTTTTTGGCGCTCAAACATTGTATGCTACAATTATTTCAGATAAAACGGCGTATTGATTTAAGTCTACATCCAATTTATTGCAAAAACCAAACATAAAAAAAGGCCAAAAAGATTTTCCGCTTTCGACCGCAAGGCCCTGTGAGAGGCATAGATCATTCTAGATGCACGCGTATGCTTGGTACAAATATCGAGGCTAACAAATTGTCCAATTGTTGTCTATTTGAACAGGAGAATATGTCTCACTTTCATCTTCTCTTCTTCTTCCCACACCACCGATATGTTTCTTTCAGTCCTTTATCAATTGTTCTTCTCTACTTTGATGTTTCAATTGACTGGTTAGCACTTAACTCTATTATTAAAATTTCTCTTTTCAACTGACAAAAAAAAAAACATAACGAAGCAAAGAAAATGGTCATGGCAAGTGGACCGCAATTTGAGCAACTGCAGAAAAGAAACGTAAAAAAAAAAAAAAGAAAAAAAAAAATTCAGGGCTCGACGATTCGAACGCGTGTCTTCCATGTACTAGTTGAGCGCCAGTACCAACTGGCCCACGAAGCCACACGTTGGCAGCGCGGCAAATTAAAAACAGAAAAAAACTTTTAAATGAAAACGTACCTGGCAAAGATTCTCCCTAACACAACACAGCAATCAAAGTTATTGACAATAACGCAATGATTTTCATCTTCCTCGCCCTCTTTTTTCTCCGGCTTGTTTTCAGTTGAAGTTTGCAAGCGGCTGACGTCTGATTGCACCGAGATGAATGATGCCAAATGATGATTATTGAGGACGATTTAAGATTATAAACTAGTACATTAAAGATAAGGAACATAATTAGGATTAAGAACGCATAAATTTTAATTCGATTAAAGCTGAACTCCAGCTTTTGAGCCTTAAAACTCTTGTCAATAGTTTGTGAAAGAATTCAATATGGTAGTCATCGCTCAAGAAAGAATCCTTACTGTAATCGACTGTCTTAAGAACACTTCAAGAATATATCATTTAAAGCAACAAAGGTCGATTCTTCAGTCCATTTTACACCCTTTAAGACTGACACACTGAATATTCATAGCCGATCTGCAAAGCATCGTTGACTTCTTTTGGCGCATTAAACACGCGCGCAGTGGAACCTCACTGACTTGAACAGTTCAGGAAACGAGAAAAGTTCCACAGTTTCATACCGTATTTTCCAAGTTTGCTTAAGAAAGACGACCGATACGTTCTTCCAGGGTTTTAGCTCAAGGTTCGAGTTAATGAGGTTTCTGTGTTACACTATACTTGTACTTCTTGTGTTCTACTCCTTTGGATACTTAGACGGAAGTTGCATACCAAAAGGCAATCCCGCCTCCCTTAATTATAATGTCTTTATCATGTAAAATTTAATTGCACCCAAACACTCGTAGACAAAAGCCAACTTTTCTCGAAAGTGACTCGGACTAAAGACCTGACGGAGTGCCGGTGACGGAAATCGACCTCGGTAAACTGGCGGGAAAAAGTGAAAATTAATCTTGAAAAAAAAAAAAAAAACCCAGGCTCTCAACAAGAAAAGAAACCACACTTTAACAGAAAATCTTGGGTTCAAGTAATAGAAGACTGAATTCATTTTAAATCTTTAATTTATGTTATCGTTTCAGCTGCAGGTAAAAGTAAGTCAAATGTGACTGATTTGATAAAACCAGACTTTCCAAAGACTATAAAATGTTTATTTTTCATAATAAAATATTTTGGACACGGCGAAAGACAAAATAACTCCACATTAGAATTACAATTTTTAAGGCTAGCTACTGTAACAAACAAAACAGAATCAACAGCATGTCAGAACTGTCCAGTCAACCGCGAGCTTTATTTAGATCTCCTACATACTTTGAAACCATCCTCAAATCTTCCTTAGCTAATATATTAGGCAGAAAAATCGTCAATGTACAATACAGGTGGTGTTCTTCTCTTGTTCGACTCCGCTCATGTCTAATACTTAAAACAAACTGGTCCTATTTCAAAAGTAAGCTTGGAGTCGACGCTGCTTTGTGGTGCCCAGTCCACTATCGGCAGGTTATTCTGCTGAGCGGTCGAGACTTCAATCTTCAAGTTTTTGTTTCCATTAACAGACGTCTGAAAAAAAGAAACAACAAATTAATCATACGTAAAATTTGTCATTTTAACTGTGCGGCGAAGAGCAATTTCCGTCATTCGACAACTTTTCTCACAAACGGAACTCATTGCCTTTAAAGTCAGCAAATCACAGTTTCGTCCCCTCACGAGTGTGGGCGACACAAATAGTGCTATTAATCAGATTTCTCCTGTTGATCAATTTGGAACGGCTGGCTTCCCTGGAACAAACAGCTAAAGACCAACTGATTTTAGTGTAATCACACTTGCATTTATAACCCTTTGGGGCCTTTCTTTCGACTTCAACAATGTTTCTCGGGTTCAAGATATCAAAGGCTATTATTTTACAACAATTTTCAATCGAGCATCAAGAGGAATCATGACTGCTATTTTTCTTTAGCATTGGAGCAATTTTCAACTGAATGTCGAAAGTAATCGGGATTGCATTGGTTTTGCTTAACTTTGGGCTGACATTCGTGTAAGGCCTGACCGGCGTAAACTTAGAAAAAACCCTTTCAAAAATAAAATCATCGATTTTTACTTGCGGTACTTGGTATTGAGGATGATTATGTTGATGGCTCTACGTTAATGTTTAAAATTACTAATTATCATTAATCAAATTTATAATGTNATAGATTTGAAGGTGACCACAACTTCACCGTTGAGTTTACGTTGTAAACACTGAATGTCGGTCGGAGAGACTTTACTCTCGGCAAAAGCATCAAATACAGCACGGGCGCTTGTATGCTTGTTTGGCATAAAGGAGGCAGATTTCGGCCTCTGAGGCATGCTGTTTTCGGGAAACCGTATTTTTGACGGTCTTGTTTCACTTGTAATATCAGAAGTGCCAGGAGCTCTTGAAGCGTATGAGTCGCCATTAACGGTTGAGCGGTCTTGAAAATTTTCGTTGCCCATCGTTAATATTTCTTCCTGTCCATCGACATTCATTGTTAAATCCATTATCATACAAAGCAAAAGTAGAAAAGAGGGCCCAGAGGGCAAACTAACCTGAAAAATCTCGGATTCCGCATATTACGCTTTGACTAGGCAGTAGCGACAAAAGCACGAGAAGCTCTTTACTGTTTCGGCCTTCTGGGCCTCATCAGTGCAGTGCTGATGCTAGGATGGGGGAGAACCGATATGGATCTCCAAACGATCCCACACTTGTGGTATCGTCTAAGCCATGCCAGAGTGCTCAAACTAGAAGAGCCTAGTGAGCTATGCACAATGCTAGTGGTGAGGACTCATCCCACAGTGCTCAATTTGGACATGAAAGCAGAGCTTTGTATGCCAAAGAACTATATCTAATGTATAAATTTATAAATCTGTTTGTTATAATAAATAAAGGTATGTGTGTAAACTCTAGTAGCTAATATCATTAATTTCTTATGTTCTATGTCTTATGATAAGTTCTTGCTCTTCTAATGCAAATCCTAGCTATTTGTGAATATATGTGTATACCTATATCTATCTATTTATTTACCTGATTTTAATATTGATGTATTTAAGCAATCCGCCTCGATTAGCGTTGCTACATGCGGGTTGACTAAATTCATATATCTGTTAAATTTGTTTGTTATAATAAATAAAGGTGTGTGTGTGTTCGTCCAAGTCGCGCTGAAAACTTTTCTGGATCAATCATAGAAAGAAGTGAAGCAAACGTGATCCAATCCTGTATTACTGTCGACATTCAATTGAAATGCTGCTCAAAAATGCACTCTATCGAAATGTGCTCTATCTTCATTCTTCTAACACAATCTTCATAAACACTTGAGGTATCGTGGTAGAAAGTTTACATCCGATAACAAGGTTGTGTTGATACTGTATCTAGCAATTGAAATTAAAAACACTAATAAAACTCAAGATCTACACGTGTCTGAAAATTTCCAATATTTCAGTTCGACCAGCCTACCTCTGTAACATCAAGCTTTATCTTCTCCAAGTTATTGACCACCATTTCATTATCGCCTTTAAGATCCACCATGCAGCTCTTGTGTGAATTTGCGCAGCTGTAGCTCATTTCTTGGAAAGCGCTCTTGCTCAGAAGTCGTAAGTATTTCATTTGCACCGAGTTTAGTTTGTATTCGATCTATGAACAAAGGGAATAAAAGTTATACGTAATTCAAGTGAATAAAGAGAGTGAGTTGCTAAAGATACCGTGGTGCTGCGTCGGTGGGGGAGGGGGGGAGGGGGATGTATTACAAGATAATTTGATTTTTATCAACTGAGTTGATAGAGAATTTCTCAAGCTAACGTTTCGAGCGCTACCCCTTCGTCGAAGCGAGTAGAGGAATTGTGGGTTATGTGACAAAAGAGATGGAACTACGCTATCGGTGTGAACATGGTAACGTGAAAAACACAAGAATCAATTGATTGAAAAGCGTTCGTTCATACCATGGGGATTAAAAGTGTCGATTTGAAAGATACAACTTTGTTTTAGAGTTTTGTTGCCTTCCAGACTTCCTAGATGTAGGGAAAGGCCGCAGGCTGCCATATTCTGCTTGGAATGATCGATGAACTTGATTTAAGCGAGATTAAAACAAAGTCAACGCACAACTACACTGTCTGATGAAGGATGTGCCTTGGAGGCCTTCAGGGGCATTGTCGGTCATGCGCTTTCGCTCAAATTGCGTGCTTTGTTTTCTTCCCTTTCATTCAGTCTCTTTCAGGGTAACTATTCATTTACTGAAATATCGTATTTGAGCTCCTAGGAAATAAAACTAAAAAAAGTAAAAAAGTGGGTACCGGTTCATCCTCGTTTGTCCATTGTCCTGGACCAGTTTCGTTGGCGTCGACAACAATCTATCAAGTAAAAAGTATACCAAGTTAGAAGAAGAACCCGTCGGCTAAATGTGCGCAGTAACTTTAGACTTATCCACGACGACGTCCACCCCCATTCTGCCACACATTTCTCACTATTCAGCGATGAGATTTTGGTTTCAAATCAGCAAATGTTTCTGCTTGTATTCGCACTGATACTAAGCAGAGAAAGCCCCCCCCCCCTTGTTTTGACCTCTCGTAGGATTGAGAGCATCACCCTAAGTTAAATTGTATCTTTTACCTTGGTCTTTGTGGGGTTTACGCAGGTAGCATTCTTCTCGAAATCGCAATAGACTTTGACAGCGTCACTACTGCAGCCTTCATTTGGATCGATCGTGTATTCACCTACAGAATAAAACAAAGTTAGTCTGACAGCACCATTTTAAGGCATGTGGAATACAGTTACCAGGTGGAAGAAACGCACAAATGAAACCAACAGCGAACTAAGGACGAATGATCGAATGTAAACGACCAAATGATCCCCCTCATGAACTTTGGACCTAATAAAAGAACAAGCTATCGAACATCATACAGAGAGTTCTAAAAAATTAAAGCTAAAGCAAACTGTAAGATAAGGACGACACGGTAGACTTCGGATTGAAAGGCGAGGGTTTAAGTCTGTGTTGTGTTCTTAGGTAAAACACTTTTCTCCCACAGTATCTATTACTCGATAGGATCTTTAATCTCCTGGCTCCGATTGTTCAAAGGGCGGATAACGCTATCCAACGAATAAATGGCTATCCAGCGGATAAGTGTTGCCAAAACGTACCGCGCTATCCACCGGATAGAGATTTATCCAGTGTATAGCGTTATCCATCCTTCGAACAACCGGGGCCTGATAAATAAAATTTACCACCACCCTTTTCGCAGACAAGACAGTGTTGTAAGTCAACCATCAAAGACAGATAGCTGCCCTTTTTTATGTGCAATGATCTTTTGGTAGAAATCTACAGCGCATGTTCAAAATAGCTACTCTATGACGTCACCCAGAAATATCATGATTGCCTGCGTGACAAAAATTAATAAATAGCGTGACAATAAACGGTCGTGACTTGCATGGATACCCCAAAATCAGGTTTCCGAGTAAGAACTGGAACCTATCATTATTTTCGGAAAATAAGTCAATGACAGATAATAACAGGTTCCAGTCCTTACTCGGAAACCTAATTTTAGAGTATCCATGCAAGTCTCGACCGACAAAAAACGTTTTAACAACATACCGCTCTTAGATTCAGGATGGTCCAGTTTAATTTCTCGGCATGATCGAGCAGGATGTTCCAGGTCCCCGGTCTGTTCTCGGAAGTTTTGAATTTTTCTGTCCAGAAGCGATATCATAAATTCGATATCCATTGACTGGGGGAAAAAAGGGGACTGCAGTTAAGCAAAAATTATCTTAGGCCGGGAAAAACTTGCGACAAATCGCCATTCCCTTTCGTGCAGCACTATCGCGGCGACAATTCGCTTGGTGTATCATGGAGGGCTATTTCAATTTAACACAAAACCGCTAGGCGGCAGGTGTTACAAACCAAAGGCCAGGAGACTGGGATACAACGTTGTCGACAAATTTGCGATAAGATCGTCTCGTGTACTATACCGTTGCCAACCACTACCGCAAGAAAGTTGCGTTTCAAGGTGTTCCGTAGACATGGATCAAAAATCGGCGTGAATTAAACCGTTGCCGACCACTATCGCAACAAAGTTGCGTTTCGAGTTGTTCCATAGAACATGGATCAAAACTCGGCGTTAAAAATCGTCCCGTTTAACTTCACCGTGGAGGCATACTGCGGCTGCGCAGCTTAAATGAGAAACCATTAGAACGAGGCATTAATCATTATTACGAATTTCTACCTTGAAGAGTTGGGCTCCAGCGTCATTGTTTGAATCACGTGATTGTTCAGATCCCTACAAGCAGTAAATTGATAACATCAATACCAGATATATATGGGAGCCGATCAAAGGAGTGAATTTTCTTGGCTGGACCAAGCTTTGTGGCCAAATAAATTGCAAAAATATTCTTCAAAAAGAAAGATTTTTACTTGACTGGAGTACAATCTGTAGGGTGGAGGTCCCTTTTCACCAGAGCTCAGTTCAGCAAGCTGCAAACGACGGAGAGCATAAGTATAATATAACTGTTGTTAAGGTTGCAACACTGTTCAGTCCCGAATTCTCAAGCTCAAATTGATAATTCTCCTCCCCGCTCCCTACAGTTAACTTCATAAAATTTTAAATTTGACAGCACCCTCTTTCGTTTAAGTAAGCTTATGCTTGTCACCTGAATAATGTATTAGTGGTGTAAGTTGAAGTTATGTCAACCACTACTAAGACTTGTACATATTCACGCAATTTTCATGCGTTTGCTTAAAGAAATGCATAAGACAATGGCTTCTGAAACACCACCCATACTATTCTTGTTTCAAAACTTTTCACGAACCGACCTTGATTCAGAGCTGTGCAACGCTGCACTAGACATTTAGGTTGCAAAAATTATAAACAATTTGTGCATCCACCAAAAGTGGGCAATAATTTTTCCCATGAAGGCTTGGGAACTTACCACGAAGTTCAATTAACTTAAACTTAAAGGTTGAGTTAGCTATGCCTCTTCGCAGGTGCATAAACAACAATGCTATGGAAATTTCAATGAACTGAGACTGGAAATTTGAAATAACAATAACCTACCGCTTCTGCTAAACTCTGTCCTGGCGGTCCCTGGTAGAAAAAAAAAGTCAGACAAGATGAAAGTTATCCTACAGTTGCAGAACATGTGGAGATCTTCCCGATTACAATTTTGGCGGAAAAAACTTAGTTACGATGTCTAACGAATACAACACGAGCGAGTTAAACCTTTACAAAGATTGAATTATCTCTGATCTCCAGAAAGACTAGTCACAACCCGATTTTTCTACCAAAGTTGGCTTGTAGCTACAAAGTACCTAGTACCTAGTGTCTCGAATACAAAATTCATATTTTAACCAGTGAGCGTCGTCAATCAATTGATATTTAATTTTTTAGATATCATGTGAATCGTTCAAGGCAATAAATTTTGCATTTTAGTATCACTGGCGAGGTAAACTACCCAGTGAAAGTTTTTAAACAAGAATATATCACGCAACCTTTTCTTGTTCAGTGATACAATATTTGGTTTGATTATATTACAATTATATTAAATTAAACCTCGTACGGTACGCACACTCCCCCTCCTCCCCNCACACACACACAGTATCAACAATTGAAATAGACATACCATTGGCCCTTTAAGTCCCCGTATACCTGGGTCTCCCTGGAACAAAGCACACCATCATCTTGTTAGGAAAATAATATTGTAATTTTTTCCTGAAAAGTTCACAAGTTCTCTACACCCTACCTAGTTACTGCGTAGAAGAATAATGAGAACAGTCAGCGGTATCTTTAAGAAGTTCCAAAATGTTTCCATTTCTAAAGAATACCTTCGCTGGACATTTTCAAGTCCACAACTTACACTGCTGAGTCATTCGTGGAAGACTTTGCTTTAAAGTTCAGCAGAATTATTTATTTTGGATGAACAAAACTGAATTTTCGATGTTACAAAACCAGTGTGTTAGAATCTCGATTATCTACTTCGTTAAAATAATTAATCAGACGAACCGATCGTTTGTTAGATAATCACGAAGAAAGTAGGCATCGAAACGTAATTCGAAATTCATTACTTACCAGTTCACCGTCTTTTCCCTAAGTCAAAAGAAGAAAAACAAAAATAAAATAAATAACAAGAGGACAATTAATACGACAAACAAGAGAAAAATTCGAAGACCTACCCACAGATAGCTAAATGAAGCTACTGAAGGGTGGCAGTCAAAAAATTTTTACTTTATAGTACTAGTTAAGGAACCTATGCCCTTTTCACGCCAGGGTGAAAAATACCATTTAAAGCTGTTTCGTGAAACACGGTTTAGAATTGTTTTCATCAAAGAAGTTACCTACACTGATGTTTGGCGACTTAAAATTTCACAAAAACAAAACTTAAAGCAAGTAAATGTTTGAACCCCCCTTATAAAATTAATTTTTCAGTTTTCTGTGGCTTAATTTCATTCAGGTAAACACAGTTTCACTAAAACATGCTTGGCTGGTGTGGCTGTGGCATTGGTCGTCAAGTGAGAGTAAGCGCCCCTAACCTGGTTTGCATGCTACTGATTTGTTAAGAAGAAAGCACGAATTTCCGATGACAGAGGGAGTAAAGAAAACCTGACGGACAATTGATGCTGAATTGTTTCTTGGACTGCGTTCACACTTGATGCTCGAGTACGGTACCCGAGTAAGATTCTTGATGGGCACTAATGCGAACATACCTTTCAGTTTCCCAAGTATCCACGCCAGAATTCGGGCATCGTGTCCTTGCTCGAGTACAAGGTCCTCACCTTGTACTCGGGCACTGATATATCGGGGAACTCTGTGTCTGAACGCAGCACTATTTTGTGCCGGTTACGTGGTACTAATGCTCGGGCACCTAGTGTGAACGTTGCCCAAGATAGTTTACTACTCAGCTATCTTAATTTATTCACCGAAGTCAGGAAATTAGAAGACAACTTACGGGTTCTCCACGATCACCCTGAAAATAAAGAAAACAGATATGGGTTTAGTTTACCACGCATGAGTTTATTCTACTTTTAAGTTAAAAAAAAGGAAAAAAAAAAAAAAAAAAAAAAAAAAAAAAAAAAAAAAAAGAGTGGGCAAGGGACCTTGTTAAAACGTAGCGATTTATTCTACAATAATTGCCTTGGCATCATGGCTTGGAGAGTTATCAAGGCAACCACAATTCGTTTCCATCATATATTCCTTCTACAGGAAAAAAACATAAAACAATGAAAAAAAAAATACGGTGGTTCAAACCTGTTTGCCGGGATCTCCCCGAGGTCCAACAGTTCCCTAAAATGAAAGAAATTCATTCTGTTAACTGGAGTCGAATCATAGCGAGTAAAAGTGAAACTTGCGGAGGGCAGGTTAAAATAAAACATAGACGACGGAGTCGCAGTTTTCGTCAGGAGTTCCCCGATCACAGTTCCTCGTTCCCCCGTTCACAGTTTGTGACTGAATAAATTTATGGGAAGCTTCTATGATCAGTTCGTTCAGAAATCTGTCGGGATTTCAACGACAGCACTAAAATAACTGTGGTCAAATCTGCAAAGAATTGTGTGCGACTTGTAACAATTCCGAATGTGTTCGTGTTTGTAAAAAGAGCTTTGTTCACCACCTTTATTACTAACTTGAGCTGACAAGCCTCTCAGTATCTACTGGTCCATACTTAACAGCAACCCAGTAACTTCTGGTTAATACGATACAGTATAGAGATAAAAGGTGTCAAGTACTGATTGGCATCAAATACCTCTGGTCCGGCAGATCCTTGTAGACCGGGAGGGCCTGCGGCTCCCGAGCCACCCTTGCGAGAAAAAAATAAAAACGCAATGCGTACACATTGGGATAGAAAGATAAATAATTAGGCAAAAGAAATGGTAAATAATCAAAGAAAGAATCAAGTCAAGCAGTAAATCAGTCCAATTGATGAGCATCTATTTTCGTTGAAGCTAAACAATCATTTTGAGCACAAGACGCAGAGACAAACAGACAGACAGACAAACACGTGGACAGAGTGAAAAATGGAAGACAGAGACTCGTAGATAAATATACTGGTAGAAGTCCAACGGAAAAAAGACAGACAGAATAGAGGTTACCGGTCTCTATAGATAGAATTTAGAAGTATCAACTCGAGAGTTGATGAAGCAATCTCCGATGGAGTGTCATAAGTAATCAAGAATTGCTTTGATTTTGCTTTAGTTCGCTAAGTGATTGGTCCAGCAAAACTTGTGCCATCCTTCCAACCAATTAGTTTCAAAACTAAAACCAATCCTGACTTGGTCACCCGCATTTTCCCGCGCTTTCAAAGTTTGCTAGTTTTTACTTTGAGTTCTCATTAGCTCTTTGTAATATCTTCATTGGCTCTGATTGGCTGATTTTAGTCTTACGACACTCAATCAAAGTTTGCTTTACAGATGCATAAATCAGCGAGTTTCAAAAAGTAAATCATGGGCCCTGAAAGAATGACAACCCGGCTCTTGGTTTCTTTTTCTTTTTTTTTTTTTTTTACAGAATAATTCCATCCCATCAAAGAATTCGGAATACCTTTGGTCCTGCAGGTCCATCAGTTCCGTTTCTCCCAGCAAGGCCACCTTCGCCCTAAAATGCGTAATTAAAATTGCCTCAGTATCGTCATCATACGATAATTATCTGGCCATGCAATTTTTATCAGAATAAAAGAGTGATCGGCGGTAGCCGGAGTCGTGGTAATGGGGGCTTTAAGCAGTCACGACGGCAACGCCACGGAAGACGTCGATTAAAAAATGAGTCTCTACTTTTAGTTAGAATTTCGAAAATGGCTGCATGTGTTTACCGTCTCATAGGGCGCCAGACCTCAAACTCAACATAACGCATAAAAGTAGCGTTGAGTTCCAAATGTAAATTAAAATAAGTTGCCGCTGCGGTTTCGCTTCGCAGACAACGCAAATTTTGTTGATTTCATGTTGTTGTTTTGCGAAGGACGGCTACGAAATGTACAAAGTTTTAAAACGCACGTGCTGGGCTATTGTCCTGCCAATTAGATATATTGTTTTTCCACGTTCTCATTGCCGTAGCCGTCCCGGTTTGCTAAAAGTCCCTACTCCAGTCCAACGTACTCTCCATCACTTAATTTTCCGATCAAATACATTTTAGTGACGCAAGGTAAAAAGAGAAACAGCCGGTAGTTTTGATACAGTTTAGATCAACAAATCCGCGAGAGGAATGAGAAAGCGAAACTGTCCATTTCGCTTCACTGAGCGCCGGAAAAAGCGCCAATCGGCAGGCCCCAAAGACAATCTCCGTAGCTGAAGGTATTTTCTTAATCCCATAACCTCTATTATTAAAAACTGGATCATTGGATAATGCAATTCAAGACTTTTCATTGACTCAGCCATTATGGTATATGAGCCAATATACCATAATCTAATTTCTGTACATTGTTAAATCCGGTTTCTTCTCACAAAATAAAGTCGAGAAGATTTGTCTAATATC